CACATTAAAATTTCACTTGGCCGCTTTTTAAAAAGATAAACAACATAACAGTGGCCCATGCTTAAATCCCACCAGCGCTCTCCATCTTCGCGTAGAGATGCACCTGAGCCTATACTTCTTAAGGCCGAAGCTCATAAAAGGTGGCAATTTATCACAAATCCCCGAATCCCCCACTCCGCAGCATGAGGAATATACATTGCCTAATTAACATAAACGACAGCAAATGCCCTGCGTCCTCAGCATGAGGGCTGACAGCGCTGCAGCCCAGCGTGCGCAGAGGTACCCCGTGCTGCTGGCGTCGCCTTGGGATGGGATCCAGCTTATTTGGTGGCACCTCAAAGCTCTGCCTGCAGTCTGCCCTGGGCGAGGGGAGCAGGGAGCTGGGCAGCTCCCTCACCCCCAGCTCCATGTAAAGCCCACAGATATAATGCCCAATAAAGTGCAATATAATCCCTGAGGGTTCATGTGGTCCCACACTGCCCCATACCAGAGGGATGCTCCAGCGCATCCCTCCCAGGAGGCAGCCCGGAGGAGCCTGCCACCCCCGGGGCACGGTGCTGCTCTCCCACCACCCACGGGCTGGACTGGGACGGGATGGATGCCTCGTGGTTGGGGCTGTACACGGAGAGCCCTCCCGGGGGCTGCGGAACTGCTGGGAGAGGGAGGGCAGTGGGGAGAGACCTCCCCGGGTGGTGGTGGGAGCTGGATGTGGCCCAAGCACGAGGGCGCATCGTCTCCAAGATACAGTGGCTTGGGGTAGCTTTTCCTAAACAAAGAGCATTATAAGGGAGCCACTGCTGGAAATTTCCATTCCTTTGTTGGGTAGATGCTGTGTAAATAAATGCATTCCTAAGATTTTTCATAATCCTGGAAAGGACCGTAAAAGAAACTGTATAGTTTGTCAAATCGCTGGAGTTCACATATATTATTCCTCAGCTGCCGGGAACGTGATATACAATGGCACAGAAAATAATGCAAGAAACATATGCTAAAGATCTTCTTAGAAGCACTCTGTGCATTTGTATGTGGGATGTACAGATATTCCTTCTGTTTTGCCCCATGGGATCTAAAATATTCAACCCATATTACAGCTTGGGTTTGTGAATTACTTACCTTAACTCGAAATAATCCTTACCTGGCAGGTGACTTTGGCAGCAGCATTTAGCTATTCTCTGGTTTAATGTGCTGGTGATTTGAAACCATTTGTAAATTAGTACATGAAATAAATGTGCAAGCAACCTCTTACTTTACTCTTCTGCTTTTCTTTCTGATGAATTTTATTTAAAAAACAGATGATTGGGGAAGATCCCATTACAATAACGATAATGTGCCTGATGTATTTTACAAGTTGAATAGCTCAAAACTACATTTTCAATGTCTTACTTTCTTGTCATATATAAACACTAACTACATATAGAAGAGATTATATGCCTGTATCCAGTGTATTAGTAATGTAAATGCCAGAGTTACTTGCATAGTAAAGACTATTGTACCTTCATTGATAGAAGTCAGATCTTTTTCTTGAAATAAGCTAGTAACGTGTCTCGCTAACTCTTGGACTCAGTTAATGTGGATTTTTCAGATCAATTCCCTGTTTAATGCGGTACAAATACTTCAGAAATTTAGAAGAGAAACCATCCTTTAGACTACCAGAACAATGTTTATTACCCTTCTTTTTCATTTTTGAACACACTCTGACATTTATCTTATATCTAGACTTTCCCAACAGCTACGCCTGCTTCCTTTAGGATAAATTTTTCAATTTTGAAAATCATATCCCCTAGTAATGCAATTCCCTGGAAAAATATTGAAATGATACAGAAACAACACTGTTCTTTTAAAGCATTTTTCATTTTTACATCTCAAGTTTCTAGAGAAAAGAGAGCACTTAATAAATAGTTGTATAAAATACAGAATGTACTTTTTCAACATTTGTTTTCTAATTGTCCAAAATACAACGTTGCCATTTATTTCCCAGATATGCTATTTTTCAATCAGATTAGAAATGTAAAAAACCCCACAACCCTACAACCAAAACAACTTAGAAGCCAAACCAAAACAACCCCTCAAACAGGACTATCTCCATAAGGTAAGCCCAAATACTTTTGGCTAGCTGCTTAGCTCTCTAATTTCCTTCTGTTTGGACACTGCCACAGCATTTCCAGTTCCGCACTGCTCATCTGAGATCCTAATTTTTCCTGACCTCAGTACTCACATTCGGGGGCTACTATGTCAAAGCATTTCAGCCTCTGGGATGCAGTAGCCTGGTTCAGCCTTCTCTCAAAGAAAGGTTATTATGGCAATTGTAGCTCTCAAACTGGAATATATAATAAAAGCTTTTTACTGTATTTTAATATAAAGTATTGTTGACTAGGGGCATCAAACTTGAAACCCAATTAATAACAAACTATGATCCCAGAGAATGCAGACCAGTAACTTATCTACCACACAAACAGCTGCGCAAATTCCTCACATTTATTTTTTCCAGGCTTTCAACTTTGATTAATAACATGGCAAAACCATGCAAGTCTCAACCATATTAACCACAGCTATATTTTTAGTCTTACTGACACGAACACTTTAATATAATAAAAGAAAAAGGAAAACAGAAGAGGTGTTTCATTAGGACACGAGGATTACTAAAACCGCTGTGTGGAGTATTTGTCAGGAGGTGGTAGGGGAAGAGTTATTACTTACATTTCAGCATGTCGCTAGGACGCGGAGCAAGAGGCTCCCTCAGTGAGATATGTTTGCTTTGGAGAAAAAATTTCAGCAATCAGACCGTCCAAGCTCTTCTTACTGACACATTTATAATACCAAATTGTGAACTCGGTTAAGAAGTTTGCAGCACTATGCTATTTTCCCAATTTTGTTACGAAGCCTGGCAATACGGCAGCGATAAGAGATCTAGAAGTTCACATATTAACCTGCCAGTCCTTTTTTGTTGATAGACAGATACATGCAAAAATATATGAAGCATGCAACCTGGTTGGTTAAAAAAATAGCCCGAATCACAAACCCTCAGCAAATCTGTTCTTGCAGCTGATTATAGAAGCGTATAACCTATTTTAAAAGCATTTATTAAAAAAAAAAAAAAAATGCCCCAAACCCAAACAAATCCCCCCTGAATGGCTGATATAAGCAAGAAACCAGCATTATGTTAGTAAAGTAACAGCTTCAAAACAAAACAAAAAATAATGCCTGCCTAATATAGAGTTCTTCAATATTAAACATGTTTGGCTTCATGATTGTGTGACACTGGGACTAGAGTTAAATTTAGTCCAGTCTCCTCATCGATTGTTCATGTGACAGGGGTATTCCTTAGATGCGTTTCTGACACTGAATTCAGCTGAATGAGTAGTGTTACACACATCATAAACATAAACAATATTTGGCTGAGTATGTCGTTCGACTCTTTTCTTTCTGCGTCTACCTGCCTACACATTTGCACCAGCAGTATGTTTCTAACGATGCCTTTTGTAAGAGAGCCAAGCCTTGTAAATCAGAACGATGGGCAAAACCAGGCATACATTTTCTATTTCTAAATCGTTTGCATGAAGACAGCTACATTTCAAACTCGAAGGAACAGAACAAAGGGATGCAGGCTTACAGCAGCCTAATTGTGACCCTGAAATTACTGCTCAGGACAGCACCCAGATATTGTAGTCAGGGATGTACTTGGGAACACCCAGGTACCACAGAGGGGATGCGACAGCCCAGCAAAGAGAAGGGAACAGCAATGGCAAATACCTTGTCGCACTTTTACCCCGAGATGAAATCATCATTTCTGCTTTGACCTTTTTAGCATCTCTAATGCACAACATCTGCAGGATCAGAAATGCAGGGGAACGGGGAAGGCGCGCACCCCAATCTATTTCTACCCACTGGGAAACGAAGAAATGTACAAAAAAACCTTTATATGGCACCGGAGAAAGTGAGACCCTATGCACAGTCTCAGATATGAACTTCACTACCAAAGAGATTTCTCTCCCACTTGAATGCCACACAAGCACAGGCGAACCGTTCCCGCTCATCTGCACTCCCCGTTCTGACATGGGGACTTTTTTAACCAGCCTAGGCTTGGCTGCAACGAAGATAAACATATTTAGCCGCAACTTTTTTTCTTTCAAAAAGAGGCAAACTGGATTATAGCAAATAACCTTTAAGATAATTAACTGACAATGCCGCAACTAGCATAAAATCTTCCTTCAGGCGACCCCTAATTTAAGTATTACTGGCACAAAGTGGAGACAGATTGTGCATCACCACCGCAATATTTACATAGCAGAAACCCACAGAGCAGGAAACGTGAGACTCAATGATGCACTAAATTAGGAACAATCATATTCTAGTGTTAATTTGCTTTCTCCTCTATCCAAATTTCAGGTCCAGCAATTGGTACAAATGCACATAAAACATTCCCATTTTTAATGATTAAGAGCCACAATCTGCAAGCAGTTCTGCTCAAAAGTAAATTTACTCACTATGAGGGATGTTTGCAGGATCAACCCCCCAAAAGCGAAACAGGTTTACCAACACAGAGATTTTTTAGAAAACCAAGACTTCCTAATCTCTTTATTTCTTTCCATAAATGATGTCTGCACAAGCAGTCCAGAGTTGTCTGCCAGGCTACCTGCCTTTTGATTGCAAATATTTTCCTATGACAGCAGCACTGTGATTCTGCAGCATAATGGAGAAGCGGTTTTAATTCACCGAAGCTGTAGATATCTGCAGGTACTCAAAAGGCTATGTACCCAAAGAATTATACTCAAAACACGGGGGAGAAAAAGATATTTTCTATTTGTAAATATATTGGGAAGTGACACATTTATAATAATAAATATACACTCTATAGTCTATCCAGACACAGCTTTCATGAGCACTACTCTCAGTTACAGCACACTTCATAAGATAAATGCAAAGAGCGATCACCAATCTTTCTAAATCTTAAATATTATTCAAATTTGGTTTCCACTATGGCATATTAACAAAATATTTACCTTGCCTAATCGCTGATGTTCTTCAAAAGCAGAAATCAGTTCTTGTGCCCACTTTATTTTTTCAGGGCTCGGAGAGAACTGTTCCTGGACAACAGCAATTTGGTTGGGGTGAATCACCTGCTTACCTACAAAGAAGATTAATAACACCAGAATCATGCATCGACAAACAGATGTTCAAGCAAAATGTTCCAACCACTTGAGGCTCTCATATGCCTCGCAGACTTTCTTGCTCTTTAACTAATTATTTTACTTGGTTTCTTTTATTTTTTAAACTGGACAACAGGCAGATAGCCTTTTGCCAGATTTTTTTAAGAATAAAAATATCTCGAGCTATGCTTGCATTCAATATCGTTCGAAAGAACCCACGATTCTTTCTTCTCCCTCCCCATTTCAATCCATACATCTTCTCTCCGTCGTTTCAGGTGCAATTGTTTGTCTGGGGCAGTCAATAACACTTAAGTACAATGCATCACTGAATTTAACTACATAAATAACAGCTCCAGCCACATATAAAGAAGTTATATTAAAATGTGTTCGGAAAACGAGATCTGAAGAAGGTGGCAAGAGATTTGTGGGACTGAAAAGTTACCAGTCACATAAGGATCATGCCCTAAATTCTTAGTATTGGCTTAGCATCATAAAATCCTTAATGTTCTTTAAACTGTTGTTGTTGCAATAGTCAGCAGTTGCAGGTAGGTTGCAATATTTATTTAGTCACCGGTACATTAAACAACTACCAGCGGTGCCCTGAAGCTTTATGAAGCACTTTTTTTTATTTTTTTTAATCCTTTCTTGTATAAATATACGTTAAGAAAATAAAAATAGATGTTGCCTTTTTTTTTTACTGGAGATTTTCAAACGTGAATAGACAGCCACATAATCCGTTTTAACCTGCCATTGTATTTAGCTACCTTAAAACAAATACATATCTAATTTGTTTGACAGTTTTAAAAGTGTAACACTTGACATTATTAGTTCATTTCTATGGGAATTTCACAGCCCGGCACGATTTCTGCACTTTGGTTTCAAAGTGTGTTAATAAAGAGAGGCGACCGTAATTCCCAGCTTCCCGCCGAATAGACGACTCTCCTCTCTGCCAGATAACAAAACTAGTTCGAGGGATGAGCCTGATCCTGCAAACCTGCCACCAAGTGAGCAGTCCCCTGCACGCAGAGGGTCCCACAGCCGTCCCCTCCTGTCCCGTCCCATCCCGTCCTGTCTCGTCCTGTCCTGCCGCACGCTGCAGCCTCTGGCAGGAGCGAGATTTTTGCACGCACGGAAAAGTTTGAAGCGTCAGGATCTAAGGAGGTTTCCTCCTCGCAACGGGGTCCGCTCCCGTGTCCTCACTGACATTACGCCAGCCGCACGTTGGAAATCAGCCCCTCACTCCGGATAAGAAGTCTCACGCGTGACTGCAGAGATACACCTATTTTAAATGAAATTACCATGGCAAAAAAAAAAAAAACCAACCCACCCTGGGATTATTTTTATCAGACTGCAGTGGGTCTGAGTGATAACCTGGAGTACAAACAAAATCTGGGGATGCAGTAGCACAATCTACTTAATTTGATGAGCAAAGAAATAGTAATTTTTTAGTGTTGATACATTTCTTTGCTAAAAAGCCATAAGTAGCTCAGTTTTATTTTATTTCCTACCAAACAACCTTTAGTTTATGACCTTAAAGGCGTCTAAATATCCAGCTTGAAATTTCAATACAGTAACTATTTTAAAAATAGCTTAAAAATAATAAAAAGTTTAAAACTCAGTAAGAACTACATTTTTTGAAAGAAACTGCACGGAGACAAATTTCCTGAACTAATGTGTTTTACATGAGGTCCAGTCAAAGGTTGTTTAGTCAATTTAATCAAATGTTACCATTAATAAGATTATGATCTTATTTGTAATACAAAAAATTCTCCCCAGCTAAACTGCTAGTTCAAAAATCGAAATAATTCCTGCAAAATCCTAAGGCGCTTAACTGTCTGGGAAAAAATGTAGAATATGTTTTAAATTATAGTTAAAGTAATCTATAATTATAACAAAAATAAAAATATTTATATATGATTTTTTAAAGTATAAAAAAATTCCGAAAAAAGATTTGTTTTTGATAAAGATATCTGTAGCAGTAAGCTATACTTTTTGTCATTAAAACACTGCTGAACAATTTACAGATAATAGAATCTAGCTTTTGGTTTACAGCACTCAGTTGATTTTTGTCACAGATTATGTATCCAAATAACTGTATAATAGACGTAATGCCATGCAAGGAATGAAGCAAATATTTTAAACGGAATTGTTGTTTTTGACAAGTTACTGAGAGAGTGCAAAATTGGAAGACATTAAAATTTATGACCATGAAATCCTTTTTACAGTACCACTTGATATATCGTGCTTTAAATCAATACCTGTCAAGTCTTTTAGGTAACTGTATGATGGTGTCATTTTAGTCTTCTACAAAAGACTGCAAAAAGAGAGGAAACCTATAGTTGTTCGTATTTATATCTGGCTTCTCAGCATGTAGCACAGGACTTTCTATAATAAGTCAGCTGTTAAAGCTTATCACAGGGTTTACTTAATTTTTTACATAAACATTCCTAAAACTGATGACTGTTTATATAGGCAACACACTGACTTTATGTCCACGGATTCTGGTATTGTAAAACATCTTGCTGGGTGTGTGGGTCTGTGAGTCTGTGGGTATGTATATATATATATAAAAAATATATATATAAATCATCCGTCCCTATAAAAATGTATATATGTATAAAATAAAATAAATATACAAATAAAACATCTATTAATTTGGCTAAACTACATTTGAAAACATTTGATTTTATGTAAACATACTCACAGAAGGAAAAACAGGCTGCTTATAAGATAACCGGAAAAGAAAACTTGGCTACAATAAGCAACGAGGGTCACAACAGTAACTAAATAGCTGGTAAATTCTTCGTTATATTATTTCCCTTGTTTAATCTTGAGTGACCGCATCTGATTACATTAAGGCCAATTCTACCATTCTAAATCTGAATATGGGAAAATCTAAGGACATCTAACTTTCCTGAATGTTCTGGATTTGCTTTAGTTTTGAAGGTGGTGAATTTGGCCCTACGCATGCGAATACGTGTGCACTTCGCCAGCTAAGAGAGCAATTTGGAAGCCTCAGCTCACAGTAGTCCTGTTGATTTCAATGATTTTGATTCTTTGGGAAGAAGTAGCTGGAAAGGATCTCAAATATTTAAAAATAAAAAGAATCGTGTGTTTTGAACTTGTTATTAAGACGACATTTTAGTATTTTACTTTCATGTTCTCAGAGGACTGTCAGTGGCAAATATGATCTGCAGACTTCTGCTTTATACAAGGTCATGGAGTAAGCTAAGACCCGTTTGTAATTTTCTGTGATGAATACTAAATTGGAAATGTTAAAATGTTTCATTTCTATAGTTCTGGAACAAAATATTTTTGCTTTTAGTTTTGAATATTGAAATGACATTTTATTTTAATCAAAACAAGCAGGGAAGGTTATAAAAAACATTAAATAAACTTAAAGCAAAAGAAAGAAAAGTGAAACATTTTGGATCAACCTCAAATATTTGTTTACTTTTTACCAAAAATATGAGATATGCTGTTTTGTTTTGACTTAAACAGATTTTTAAAAAAAGGTCTTTGTCTTTTTTTTGGCCACCAGATCAGAAAAGTCAGTATTGCTCCGTCTGTAATTATGGACGGACTTGTTGTCAGGCTGTTTGCTGGATTTTGGAAATGTGTTGATGATAGCTGCGAAAAGGCAGGAGGCAAAGAGCTGGAGCTGTGAGTTCATCTTAATGAAGACTGTACCTTTTACAGATCTGTACTCCTCGTATGGAAAGGCAAGACATCTCATGGCTGAGTTAGAAATTCACTTTATGCCCTAAATTGCCACAGGTGACCTTTTTATTTGTCTCCTATCTGCACCCTATCCTGATGTCAGACGACTTCTGCCGTGAAGTCAGTGGAGTCCAAAACACCATCAACATTGTTTATGCTGAGGATTTCTAAATTTCCTAAATTGGCAGCCTGAGTTAAGTATTTAAATATACATTAAGCATTCAAAAAGAGTGCTCTCAAAGGTGCTAAGCATCAGCAACTCCATCTTCCGTCAACAGGAGGTTCAGATGCTTAAATTTTTTCAAAAATCAAGCCTTTCCTGAAGCTAGGAAATACTGGTCGAGATTAGGTAGCCATCAGCAGGTGCTACCATTCAGGAGTTCTGTTATTTTCCCAACTTCAGTCGCAGACAGATGAAGGGTAGAAGTCCACATGGACATCCATAATGTAGCTGTGAGGAGCCATCCGTTTTGCCTCCAAAACAAGATTTGGTTTTGCAAATGTCAAAACTCAGCAGACAGTAAGGCAGAGTTTGTGCTGAAGAGCATCCATCTCTATTCTTTTACTGGTACGTCGAGATCACTTAAAAGAATGCCTGGTTTATTATATTATTTTGCTCGGTGCTTTAAGGTATCATACACCACGGACTGTAAAAATATAGTTTGCTAGATAGCATCACCAGGACCCGTGCCTTTGGTAACAAAAACCTAAGAGATGTACTATTACCATATGCATACCCTGAATGATGGTCAGAGACAGATAATGTAAAATGTTCGTCCTATATGCTAGAATTCTCTAATACACGTGTCAAATGGCTGATTTCTATTGCAAAACCCCAATCTTTGGTGGCTGCACTGTCCCACCAGGGTGTCCGAGTGATCTGGTACACCAATCACAGGGTAACAGGCTGCCTTACGGGACTCTGGGGCAAGGAGCCTGCTGCTCTTGCTGTCTGCCAATACCCGTAGGTGTCACCAGCACTTACTGGGAGGGGAGCCAGGGGATGAAAAACAAATCTAAGAAAATAATAAGAAAATACCTTTCCCCGAGCAATTAGCATAGGAGATTTGCTTCTCAACTCCTTCACCTAAGAAGTATTTTTTAACAACTGCCATTAAAACAGAATAGGAGGAAGGGATCCAAATATTTCAAAAAGCAATTGCAGAGTGGCCATTGCAGAGTACAGCATCGCCTTTCCCGTGCTCTGTGATGGGAGGAATCACTGCACAGCCTCTACCCCAACTTCTCTTCAAAAACAGTCACACGCTTCATGGGATGTGGTTTTAAAAAGCAGCCTGTGACTTTTGAGGCAAAATTTTCAGACCCGATTTTAAAGGTGCTAATAAACATAGAAGAGCTTGGTGTTACTGAGTTTCTCAACAAACGACCTGAAATAAAGCCCAAGTTATTTGTCTGAGTGACAGTACGTGTAGCAATATATTTTAATTGAAGAAACTATGTATTATTTTGAGACATAGGCAGAAAGCCATACCAGTGAATCCCATCGAGGCACCTTCTCTTGATTGTTTGCGGAGCCCATCTTCATCTCGGAAATCGATGTAAACAAGGTCTATTGCTTGAAGGCCAAACGCCTTTGCTATGACTATTATTTTTTGCCTGGCATATAGAATATCATGAGTTTCCTTACTGCTTGTTGCACCTACAAAAACAATGAAAACAAAGAAAAGCTGTCAAGAGTGTCTGAAACCTTTCTATTTTAAATATTTCCTATGTAAAAAAAGGAAAGTTTGAGATTTCATTTAATCAATTTGGAAAACAAAAGAGGGTTGCAAGGCTATATTGTCAAAATAATGCTCTTATGAGGGGAAAAAAATCTGATTTAGCAATAAATAAATAAATCTCTTTTTAAACCCTAGTTTATAAGATTCAGATTTTGATTCAGTTCAAATCAGAAGTTGTAAGCCTGAAGTCAGTGGAAGTTTTTGCTGGTAAGGACTAACATGGAGTAATTATTTGATTATATTCTTCACTGTATGTACAGTGAGAAACATTACAGCAAGAGAAGCTTTATACAAATTCATATACTGGGTACAACTAAATGGTTAAAAAATTCACACTGAGAACAGAATTGCACTTTCCTTGGTTGCGATTCTTGTCACAACTGATGTCCTAAGCTGAATATTTAAGCTTTAGTATTTGGATGCAAAAGTATTCACAAGACTTCATGTGCTCACAGGGCACCAGCTAAACAACGTGCTCATGTGAAGGCAGATGTGAAATAATAATAATAATAATAATAATAATAATAATAATAATAATAATAATAATAATAATAATGTGTTCACTTTCCTTAGCATCACTATTTAGACACAGATTTCCAGTTTGTAAGGAATATTTCAGTAAAGTAATGCTATTTTTTACATTAACATACTTATTTTTAATTTAGATGTTGATAACTGCACTATTATCTTTAAACTGAATCAGATTAATTAGAAGTTAAGTGGCCTCTCATAAAAGATATTTTGAAATACTTTTCATTTTTGAGGAAGACTGATAGCGCTTTCACATGAATGCATGGCTGTATTGACAAGGGACATATGTAAAATAAATTTATGAGAGCAAAATGTAACAGGAGAGCATTTGCGCATGATGTCACAAGCCTGACTGATAATCGTCTGTAAAACTGTGATGAAGCAGACACCAGAATTTTAGGGCTTTAAATGTAGTTCTTAGAAGCATGTACGTGTCTCTTATGGATATCATATTTTTAAATAATTTCAGTGACTCAACAGGTTTTGGTTGCTTCCCCCCCCTCCCCATTAATTTTTGGTACTGCATGGCAAGAAGCACAAGAAAGTGTCAGTGCCCTGTAACACACAGGGACCACGTTTTAACGCCCCAGTGACGCATTCTGCATTGAGAAAAATGAAGGAGAAAAGTGAAAATGTAAAATGCAGAATCAAGCGTTGTCACTACTTAAAGTGTTGCTGTCGGAAAGGCAACGGCCGTAAATCACACCAGGCTTCCCCAGTGCAAATGCCGTACGTTAACATTTATAGTAAACACGCAGGTAACAACCTATGCTGGCACGGAAATCCTCTCCTCCGAAGACGACTGCGTCCAAATGAAAGCCAACGCGGGATCCTGTTCTCAGTGCTTCTTCACAGACAGCCTTCAAATGAGAACAGAGTTACTAATTTCTACAGAAAGGCAGGACGCAGAGAGACTGCAGAGGGTATTGCAGCAATCCAGCGTTACCAAAATCCTTCAGCTAAAATTGCTCCCGTTAAGCAAAGCCATTGTAGGTGCTCAGCTATGCACGGCGCTTTAAAATGACTCAGCAAAAGAGAAAACATTTTCTTTCTCTAAGCACCTATGTGTCTAGACAGTGTAAATGCAGGACATCATAGCAGATTCCCTGCCTTCTGGTTGCCATAATGCCCTGGGCATTGCTGCGATCGCTACTTCAGGTATTTATGCAACAATAGGAAACGAAACCTTTGTCAAACGCTGCTTAAAAGCAAACAAAAAGTATTAAATTTGGTTAGTTAGACATGTAATATATCTGCATAGGAAACAGAAAGAAAGATCAGGATCTCTTTTATTAAATAAATACTATGAACCGTTCAAAATGGCTGTAGATTCCTTACAGGATATAAGGATTGTTTATAGGATTGCCAATTTGAAGTCTTCTGCTGCATATAACTAAAAACTAGCTAAGGAAGTTAAAAATGCAACAAGTGCTGCAGAAAAGTATTAAAATAAAAGCAATAATTTTTTTTGCTGCTGTAGCTATTCTATGAAGAAGTGCATTTCCAAAATATTACTATTTTATACCGATGTTTGGATAATATTAATATTTTTCAGGGCTAAGGTAGGTGGAGAGAGACAGCTGTAATCACCAGCTCTACTAACGGGTGTTCTTCTCTGGCAGCTGGTGGGACAAGAAATTATTCTTTAACAGAGTGCTTTAAAAGGCAGCTCTCCTGCCAACATCAGGAACTGCAGTATTAAAAATTCCACTATAAAATACTGTAGGTGAAGAAAAACCTCAGCCGGTTTAAAACATGATTTAATTCTGTGTATGCACACCGGACAGGAGCGCGTCTATTTGGTTACTGCTTTCTTATGTTCCGAGATACGTTAGCACGGCGTTATAAGATAAATGGCTGTATCAAACGAGCAGGCTGCCTGTGAGGCCTGCCGGTACTTCTGGGGGTACTTCTGATGTGTGCGTCCTCAGCTGGTCCGAAACTTTTCCCTTAGAGCTTGGGAGGGGAACGCTGGATTCCTGGAGCGCGCATGAGATCTTCCGTTTCATTGCTGGGCTGCCTTTGCCTTTCTGAAAAAACTGGACTTGATAGTAAAGGTTGGGGCGTAATTTATATTAAAATGCACTTTAAAAATAAGATTTGAACTAAAATTACCCTAGAAAAGGAGCATGTTCTTCAGATATTTGCTATTTTCAAAGTTAATTGTACTTCTAATCTTAGCATTAAACACCCCATCATACACACAGAAAAATGATAACATGAAATTTGGTTGTAATGCTGTCAGCAGAAACCATTATGAAGATGCGAGTTTAGCAATACTGAAATGATGATTAATTCTTTGTTCTAATTAACTGTTATACGAAAGTCGAGTTCGATAGCTATTAAATAGCCAAGTGTATTGCAACACTGTGAGTATTTCAAATCTTTGGAAAAGCCTGTTTCCACTCCAAGTGTGTTAAAAATGGTAACAGTAATGCAGAGAGGTTTTGTTATTTGGCATAGACTGTCACTGCAATATTTTGAATTTATGAAGGCCTTTATAATACGAGCATGAGAGTTAAATGTACAAATGTTTTAGGGGATTGAACAATATGTTTAGTATTTTTTAATCCCTCTTCCTTGATGAAATTAGGGGGAGACTGGGGAGTGTTCTGCCTATCCTACTTTGCTGAGATGGCAAAATATGAACACTTCAAGACCTGCTTACCTTAAAATTGAGCAAGCCCACTGCAGTTTCCACAAAGGGGATAAAATTCATTGGTTCTACAAGTGTTCGGCCTTTCAGGTGATGTAAGAATTTGTCTGAAAACTAAAACTAGACAGTATGAGCTATCAGAGAGGAAAAAAAGAAAAAAAAAGAACAGTCTACATGTATATATAATACGTTAAATTCTCACCTGGCTGTAACAACACCCCTCCCCACCCCAGAACCTTCCAATTAAAAAAATTAAGCCAGCTTTTAATCAGGCCTGTGATTCGAAACCGCAGCATTCCCATACATTTCTAAGTTTGGAGGCTGTTTTGCAAAAAAAAATAAATAATAATAAAAAAAAATAACCAGGCTTAGCACCTCTCACCCTGGCTTAGTGAAATGCAAATCCCCAGGCCCTGGAAAACAATGAAGTGCTGCTGTACCTGAGGTCCGGTTTTGTTTCAGGTCCAGCACTGCCATCACTGGAAGTGCTCCCCAGCCTTCTAAGTGGCATCCGTATTATTCATTACGGCACCGTTACCCTTTTGTTCAATAGGCTTTTCTTCATAATTTTTTAGCTTACCTAGGAAGGCCTTAAAAAGGAAGTTTAATTCTTTGAAGACCAAAGCTTGCCAATTTTTTCCATGAGACCAGTTCACAGCTAGCTCTGAGCTGCCAGTGGGGTAGCCCAAATTCCAAAATCTATCATCTGGAAACATACAAAAGCTCTTGCACAGATTTTTCCCCTTTCAAAAGGAAAAAAAAAAAAAGGGGGGGGGGGGGGAGAACCCTCAGCCCTATATTGTAAATCTATTATGTCTGTCCAGATCGAGTAATTTGCGTGGAGATAAACATATCGCAGGTACTGCGAAAATATGTTAGTAAATAAAGACAAAAATAACATATGCATATATTTTAAATTTAAGGAATATTCGACTATTAATGGATATCAAAGGAAAGGGAATTTTAATCATCTCTCCATTCAGTCTCAGTTGGGTAAATCATATCTAAGAGATTTGCATAAATATAAACCATCAAAGACTTTTCATCTTCAAAGGGGGTTTCAAGACCCTATAAGCTTTGTACTGTAATCATCGCAGGTCACAACCCTGCAGGAATAAGGCTGCTATGGCAACATAAAAAACTAATGCTTAAGGCTTAGCATAATATTCTGACTAATAGAAAGGAAACTCATTTTAAAAGCTGGCAGCCTATTTACCAGAAGCTGGATTAGAGGTGTTATTTCCCCTTTTAGCTTCCCCCCACCGCCCCTGCCCAAAAGAAGGAAAATCTAATCACCCAGATCTTGAAAAAAAGCTTTCCAGCAATTTGCAGTAACTTTACAATTAGGCCAAAATAAATCACAGCTTTCTTCGATGAAGAATTCTGCCCTTCCCATCCCTGCTTTGCATTGCCACTGTGGCCCCCTCAGCAACTTTTCTCTGGAGAAGAGAATTCCACCCAAAAATGTGCAAGGAGAAAAAAAAAATAATAATCAATGCAATTTGCTCATGCGAACATACAGTATGGAAGGTACTATAGTGACAGAAAACAGTAAACTTCACCCAGGCAAATGCAGAAGATGAGGTAATATAATGACATCAACATATATTCTTAAGACTCCTATCTGACTTTTATTTTTTAATCAAAAAAAAAGTAAAAAGCCCTACTGTGTTTATATTTTAGGTGCAAGCTAAAGCTGCAGAGCTCTTCTTTTATTTTAAAATATTTTAAAAGTCACTCTCCTGGGATTTTTGCTATCTTTTGTTTTGAAGGTAAATAAACAAACAAACAAACAAAATCATGTTTCATTAAATATTGTTTCCCTTCCTCTCCCTTTTAAAAAATTTGCAATAAGCACCAATACAAAAGGTAACGTGTGGAGAAGTTTCAATTAATTTTTTTTTTTTTTTTTTTTTCAAAAGGAGACGATTAAATGTTTCCGGCCCGGTAAAGTGTTCATTTCAGGGAGAAAGAGGGGGGAAGAAAAAAAAAAAAAAGAAGGCGGAGGGAAAAAAAACCCACAAAGCTTGGGGAGGGGATGAAGTAGCAAGGCCTCAGCAATTCTTTCAATTCCAGTGCACACCCAATAGTGTGTCGGGAAGAATGCACACTGGTCGGGATTTGTGGGAGAATTGTCCCGCCACAAAGGAGGGAGAGTTACGCTTGTTATAGTCCAATAAGCCATGCCAGTCAAACAAGTACCCACACTAGGGACAAAAGGAAAGCAAGAGATTCTCACACAAAAGAAAACAAGTAAGCCCATCTTTTAGTTGTGCATCAGCCTCCAGGTTTTCTGCTGCACATAAATAAAAATGAAGGGGGGGTGGGGGTATGGGTGGGGGGAAGTAAACAGCTTCTGGGAGGCTGAAAAATCACGCCGGAGCGAATTTTGGGAGGACTGGGAAAAGAAGGCAGCGGCGTTAAGCGGAGCGCGCTCTTTGTGTGCAGAGGTTGGGCAAAGCGAGAAGGAAGCAAAAGGCGGACCACGAGGCAGAAGTTGTCGGGGCTGGCTTGTTATCCATGATGGACATCAAAGTCAGGGAGAGGGAAGGTGGAAGGGGCTGAGGGGACAAAGAGCCCCCCGCGTCCCACCTCCCCGCAAAACCTACTTGGTGGCAGCAAGGGCGCTGCCATTTTGGAAGCATGAATATTCATTACTGACAAGTTACGTCTAACACTTACACGGCTGTAAACCCTGAGAGGTATACTCCGGTTAATTTAATTAAATGTTGGTGGAAGGGGATGGTGTACCTTCCATCGTGAGCGGCGGAGGCCGAAGGGGCAGTGCCACGGAACGGACGGGGCTCGTCACGTACCCAACACATTTCCTCCGTTCTACGCTCATGCCTGATCTTAACGGTTTGATCAAGGTTAGATGCTGAGATTAAAATAGATCCTAATACGTCTGCCTGCCTTTCATCACAGCTTGCACGCGTGCTAGTTGCTCGGCTAGCCGTTTGCAAAAATATAGAAGTGAATAATTAAGCATTATTCCTTTACAGGCATGTTACAGCAATAATGGTATATCTAAACACACGTCCCCCTTTCTTGACAATTAAAACAATTACAGCATAATTAGGCCTATTTCAAAGTTTTCTTAAGTAATTTGACATGCCAACCATTTACATTTCAGGTTTTTATTGGCTGAAAAGTCAGTCGTGAAACACAAACACACCTGTCAGCAATTAAAAAGGAAGAAATAGAGAACTGTTCAGGAAATAATATCTGTGCTAATTAAAAACACTAGTTAAAAGCTTCCTGTTTGTTCCTCCAGTTGCCCCAAGGAGTGACCTCCCCCCCAACCCATTTTTTCATATGTCGCTAACGTGGTTTCCCCATCTCCTGCTTGCAATGCATGTAACTAAGGCTCACGGACAGAGACAGTCATTTTGCTTGTTAGGACAGTTAGAGAAGAGTCGGATTCTTATGCTTCTATTTTTGATAATATACTCTGACACCAATACTGGTTCTTCGTTGGCCGTGGGAGAAATAAACCTGGTTTTCTTTAGAAACGCAAGGTGTTCTACATATGCTTTTTATACAGCACATCTTACACACATTTAAATGGATGCATTTCCCAATTACCTTAGCCAGGCAACAACACTATATGGTATTTGCAGCCTTCCTCATAACTCAGAGTCATTCATCTCTATGCCTGTGTGAACTTGGCCCATCAGCTTCAGTCAAAATCTACTGTGTTGTTGGTACTCACCCATCTTATTTCTTCAACATTTTCAACCTTTGGCAGCATCATGCTTGAAGGAAGGGCCTTGGACTGCAAAAGCACCTCTAGATCTTCTTCTGCAAGACCGCTGGACACGGAGTTTATCCTAACACACTTTTCAGCATGGCCAAAGTCAAACTCTTCAAGGGTTTTCACAACGGTCAGTCTCGCTTCTCTCTACAGTATATATGAGTTTAGAGGCACAAGAAAAGAGAAAGAAAGCATATTTTCTATTGACAGAAAAGTGCACTGAGGAGAAAACTTGTTGAAATGACGTGGGGAAAAAGCTAGACAGCCAGTATATTGGTTTCCCCAAAATGTCTGTCACTCTTGGACTTTTATTGAAGCAGTCATCACCAGCACCTCGCAATTTTACCTTCTTTGTTTCTTTATAACTGGTAAATAAAATGCTCGGGCTTTATGTCTGCGTATTTCTACAACACCACTGGTAGAAAACAAGACTTTTGTGTCCACTGATGGTGAACACGTCTAACAAACACAAATCTTTATACTAACCACAATGTGTTGCACTAACTGCCTGCACTCAGAAAAAAGGCAGGTTATTAAATTTGCATAACCCAATTCATTTTTGCAGTTTGTCTCTATATTGCCTGGACATCGGTAAGCACAGTTGTACATATACTTCTTTGGTTTTGCTATATAAAATTTCCTTTTCTCCATATATCCAAAGTGTATTAAAGCCTGTGGTACAGTTCACTACTCATGTGTGAAAACTTGGGAGATTTTTCTTGAACCACATAAGAAGCTATTCTCCTGCTGGCACGAAACAAAATCTCCAGAGACACGCGCTTCCCGTGGCCGTTCGCTATTTTTGAGAATGTAAATTTACAAATCTGTTTAATAGTTGATTTGCATGGAGAATATTTGCCTGCTTTTCTGAAACGAAACGCGTTTCTTGGCCTGGAGAGGAAGGGTGGGGGCA